TGGGGCAACCTGCAAGAATGCTTGCTCGGCTTGCTTCTGGAGGCAGACAGATGGATGGGGAAGAAATATAGGTGAGATTAGTGTTTGTCAGCTGCAGCTGGGCGCCATGAGCTGTTGTTTCACTTGCAAAGCCCTGCTGCTCTTCTGGAAGCTCCGCTTTCTTTTCCCATCTTTGTCCCTCTGCAAAGGGAAGGTCCCAGCTCCCCGTAGGGGCCAGGATTTGAATCAAAAGCATCCTGGTGCATCATGGGGTTTTAATGTGTAGGGGATTTGTTGTTTTGTTGGGGGTTTTTTTTCTCCTTTTTCTGGGTGACTGCTGAGGTTATCCAAGACCTCCTGCTGGGGATGGCGAGTGGTTTAGCAAAGCGGTGGTGCTTTGATGGGGGTGATGGTGGCCAGAGTGGGTGTGTGGATCCAGCAAGGGTCTGTCCCTGTGGTCCAGTGTCCTCCTCCACCTCCTGCCCCCCCAAGCCAGCCCCCAGCCCGGGGGAGCCCCTCCAGAGCTCCTTGCAGCAGATGCAAGATTAAGCAGGGGGCTGTTCTCTCCCTCCCCAGGCACCCATAAAGAAGGGGAAGGAAGTTTTCCAGGGCCTTTTCCCCAGCCCTGCTCACCAGCCGATACAAACATCAGGCTCCTTTCCAGCTCTTATTGTTGTTTTGGTTTGGTTTTTTTTTTTTTCCCCCCTCCTGCACTAACCATAAATCAGGTTGCTTTCCCCAAGGACCATCTAATGCAGCTGATCCCGCAGGTGAAGACCACCTTGCAAAGCTCTTTCCCTCCCTCTCCCCCCAGCACGCCTTCAGCCAGGGATGCAGGGAGCGATGGTGGGAGACGATGCTCGTTGCCCACCCTGAGTCCTGCCTGCCGGTCCCAGGCTCCCTTCCTCGGCATTGCAAGCAGAAATCCTTTAGCTCACGCTCGCAGCTCGGCTCTGCTCCTCTTCTCCATTCCAGCCCCTTTCCCAGGGGAGGATGGGGATTAAGAGGAAGCAGATTAAACCTAATGGATTGATTGCAATTATTTTCCCTTGTTTATTTGCAGTGCTGTGTGGGAGCCTGAAAAAAGGAAGGGGAATGCTCTTTATGCGTGTGCAGTCCTGGTCCTCATTATGTTTCCTGCTAGAGAGCGACCCGGGCCAGCCAAAAATAAAACCAGCTACATTTGAGCATCCTATTTCAAGCTCTTATAAACTGTGATGTGTAAATACTTCTGTGTGCAAACCCACACGCGATCCTGCGCGAAGCAACTCCAACACCAGCCCCAGCTGCCCTCGCCCATGAGTCCCACGTTCCCTGGGGACATGCACCCTCCTCGGAGCCATCGGAAGCTCTTTGGGGCAAGAGTCAACCTCTTGTTTGGGAAAAGTTTTACCTGCCACCGTGCCTGGGGGTTTTCTCCCTAATTTGGCTGCCTGAGGGCTGTGTGAGTATTTAGCATCAGAAATGCACCCTGTATCCCTGTGCCTACCCAGAGCTGAGCCCTCCAAACCCTTCCTGGACTTGTTGCAAAAACTTGCCCCCACCTAAATAAATCTCCCTAGGTCTGGGGGTTTTTGTGGAGGGTCTCGGGAGGCTAATCCTGGACTTTGGGGTGCTGAGGGCACATTCCTAATGGCACCAGGGTGCAGAAATAGGCGCCTCGTGCCCAAAGCAGAAAATGCTTCAAAATAAGTGGACTTGAGCCTTTTAATGCTCTTTTACAGCAGCTGAAGTAACTTGGAGGAGTAGTAGGAGGAAGCTACCCTCTTTTTCTAGGGTTTTTCCCCAGCATCGAAGGTCTTTCCTGGAGCGCACTAGCGGGGTGGGAGCACGGTGGGATGCTCAGAACACTGCCTGGCACCACAGTAAGCTGTTGTACAAAACTGGTTAAGTCGTGCGAAGCTCCCAACGCCGCGCTCCTGGCTGAGGTCCGAGCCTCCTTCACCAGATAAGATCAGACTCTACATTCCTGCTGTTTATAAGGTTAAAATAGGAGGATGGGGAAGAAAGAAGAAAAAAATAACCCCACCCTTGAAGGCTTTGAGGCCATCTTTCCTATCATGGATTCACAAACCTCAGTTCTTGGGGTGGGGGGGTGGAAAAACCAAGCAGCACGCCAACGTAGTGATGCTCTTTATTGGCATCTGACGGATACACAAGGACAGCTACCCACCCGGCCGGCGCGGCGGCCCACCACCCCCCGTGCATCACCCCCCCCACCTCATGCTGCTCACACCCCACCCACAAACCCCCCAAACTCCTTCTACGACAGTTATTTCTTCACCGTAAAATTTCCTAATAAATCAGCACTGGTATTACAGAGGGGCGAGTGGAGAAACACACGTTCTTTGTACAACAGAAACATTAGAAAAGGACACAAAACATACCGACGAGCGCTAACTTTGGCTTGGTTTTCCCTCCCTGTTTTTTCATTTTATTTTCATTTATTTCCTGCAACCAGGGATTTGAGGCGTCCCCCGGCTTCTCTTTGGATGCTGAGTTTGTCTCCGTTTCCTCAGCCCTGAGGAAATCCCTTTACTATGGCAATTGAAACCTGAGACCGTGGCAATATTGTCCTGAAGAAAAGCAGTTTCCAGCTGGCAAGGTATGGCCAGGTTGGCTTGTCAGACTGAACCGGGCAGTTTGTTTTGCTTTTGATCTGGGCACTTTATTCCAGTTGCCCTTAGTTTGTATTTGAGCCGCTTCATCAAAAAAAGGGACCGATGGAAACAACCTGACAATAACCAACACTGAAATTCATCCAAAAGCATCCCTGTGGATGGCTCGGTCTGGCAGGAGCAGGCGCCCCAGCCGGGGGTTCACAAGCCGGAGTCGCCCTCTGCGAGTAGAGTTGCAAATTTGGGGCAGTTTCCTTGGATTTTAGTGATGGGAGAGGTTTGGGACTCAGGTGTGGGACTCGCAGCCCTGTTGGGGCCAAGTGTTTCTAACCAACAGGTTTGGCATGGGCAGCCAGCAGCCAACGTGTCGCAGGGTTTGTTCCTCCGAAGGGATCTTGGCTGTTTTGCTGCGTGAGGGCAGGATGTGTCAAATATCCCGTTCTGGAGATCTAGATTCAGCCTGTGCTGCTTTATCATCCAAAGCACAGGAGGCAAAATTCCCAAAAGCTTTTGAAGGACCTGGGCACTTGAATCCTACTGAGGCAGCCTCCAATCCCTCGGAAAGCGCTGAGCTCTCCCTATCGACACCCGGCAGCTCTGCTGGGAGCAGCCAAATCCTTCCACGTTCCCAAGTTTCTCACGGACCTGCTGCAGCGATTTTTGGGGTGTGCGTGTTTCCCTGCCCCCCAATTGAGTCTTTAAGGCCAGAAATGAGGTGGGACCGAAGACTTGGGCTGCAAAACGAAAGCTCGCCTTGCAGGCAGAAAGGCTGTGAGGGAGAGCAGAGGGGCCGGGATGGGTGCCGTCACCCCACGTCACACGTAGAAACATCAAGCAGTTAGTAAAACAACACGACATTATTTACAAGTCTTGCTTATCTCCTTAAGGAGGGGAGGAAAATCACCTTCTGCCTTCAGGAAAGTTTCTGGCTGAATCCAGAGGCGAAGGGGGGAGTTCGTAGGCGCAGGCGTACGAGGTGCTGGTGCCAGGCACCAGCTCACCGTACAGCCCTTCTTCTGCAAAAACCTCGTGATGCTCCAGGCAAGCGAGACATCAAAGCCGTAGCTGTGTTGGGGACATCCCCCAGGACCGCGCTGGCTGCTCGGTGGCAGCTCGTGGGGGGGAACGGGGTGCTCCCCTGCCCGGCGGCTTCTCTTCAGCATCCCCTATGAGTGAGCTGGGTGCCGGGCAGGGAGCTGATATGCCAAGAAAATGCACTTATAGCTCTGGAGGCGGTGAGTGATGTCCCCTCTCCGGGGCTGGGGTGGGCTCCCAGCGGAGGGAGGTGCTGGGGCCACCCAAGGATGCCCCCGGGGAGGCAGTTGGTGCACTGAGGGTGGGCAGCACCCACTGCGTGCCCGGACGGAGGCAAAGAGCCCGCAGGGGAGTGGGTAGGGGCATTTCTGAGCCACCCTTCACAGTGCTGGAAGAGAAGGAGCCCTTACAAGCAGGGGGTCAGGACCACCAGCCCCGGCCGGCTCTGCGGGCGAGCAGGGACAGTGCAATGGCAGCAGGGTGGCTTTGCTCCCAGGTGGGTGCAGCGTGGGGATGCCGGGGGGAAGGATGAGCAGAGCCCTTTTGTTGTGTCCCCACTGTGGGCAGGCACTTTTTCAGCCCTTTAGACCTTCGGTGTCCTCCCGTGGAGCTCCAGCGTGCCTGGGTGAGCCGGGCACTGGCAGGGAGGTCACGGCACCCAGTCTTCTGGCCCCCAATGTTCAGGTGGTCCCGGCTGCTCCTCACCGAGACCAAACGCTGGCAGCCCCGTGGAGCGTGCGTGGGGGCTGCGCCCCCCCAAATTTCACAGTGTAGGTTGGGCTGCTGGAAGCCAAGTCCTTTCCCCCAGCCCACCCCCGCCATGGTGCAGCCCGGCTGTAGGACCAGATTCCCTCCCCAAATCCTGGTACAGCAGCTCCAGTTCTCTCCGTACCCATCGCAGCCCTGCCCTTCGTCTGCAGTTTGGGGAAAGCAGCTGGATTTCAGGGCATTGGAGAGGAGCGGGAGATAGCGGCGGGGTGAGCCAAGGAGGAAGGGCAGGAGGAAGAGGAGAACTGGAGCCCCAAGGAATAAGGAGAAGGGGAAGGGGAGAGAGGAGAGGGCTCAGAGCACGGTGCTCATTCCTGCGTCCGTCCGTCCAGCCTCATGGGGCTGCAGAGGATGATCCGGCAGCAGACGGGCTTTGGGCATTGAGCGGGACTGAGCTTACGGGCTGCCAGGGGGAGGCAGTGCTGGGAGGGGGCGATACCGAAAACGGGAGGTCAGTGCATACAGGACTGTAAATTGGGGGGGCCCGGGGAGCCCCCGCTTCCTTCCCACCCTCCCCTCTGGGGCTTTCGGTGCCAGGGAGGGGAGAGGCGAGGGGGTGAAGGGAGAAGGGGACCCCGCGGGGCTGCCCCGGGCCACCCTTCAGACGGGGGAGGTGGCAGTGGACTCGCTGTACAAGCTTTCGGCGATGTCCCCGCGCTGGATCTTGTGCAGGGCGGCCAGCAGGACATCGAGGGTGGCCGTCTCCTTGGAGGACCAGTCGGCCAGGAGAGCCCGGGCGGGTGATTCCTCCCGGGTGAAGGAGTCTATGAGGTCCTCTTTGTAGCCCAGCTCCCCGGCCAGCTGCCTCCATGTCTCCTCCGCGGAGCTTCCCAGCAGCTTCTCCACCTCCTCCTGCTTGCTGGCCGGCAGGTTGGCGTAGAGGTTCCCATCTCCCTTGGGCGCTGGGAAGGACGAAGCGGCATTAAGCCCGTCCCTGGGGTGCACTTGCCCACCCTGCAACCCCCCCGGTTCACCCTACCTGGTCCTTGGGTGCTCTGGCTGGGTGGCTGCTGGTCGTGCAGGCTCTGGCTGTCCACCGAGATGCCGCTGTCGCTGTGCAGCTTCTCCCCCTCCGGCGAAGGCGTCTGGTTCACCGGGCGGTTGTTGGCCCCTTGCTTGTTCTGTTTGCAGTTGTTCCACCTGCGAGGAGAGGAGCGGGGAGGTGACAGCCGCTGGCGACGTCCCCCAGGTTGGGAGCAGGTCTGTTGTTTTGTCCCGCTTTCTTGGGATCACTTTTCGCAGGGCAAAGCGTTTCTCCGACAGCCTCTGGCTCAACCTCTCCAGCGTAGCGGCCGGATCGATTTAAATCGGTGTTTGCAGGTGCCGAGCATCTAAGCTTTGCAAGGGACCAGGGCAGGGCTCCCTTCCGCGGGGATCTGCTGCAAATGCGCTGCCGGAGCATGCAGGGGTCCTGGGGCTGCCTGTGGGTGTCCCCCCCCAAAAAACCCTTGGGGTGCCTGGGGAGCTGCTGGGGCCTGCCCGGGGCCAGGTGTAAACCCAGCACGCCGGGGATGAGCCGCTGAGCGTGATCGGCCGTGACGGCCGCCCACGGCGTGCCAGAACGAGTAGGGGCCGGGGCTGGGGGGGGGGGTTTGCAATGAGGGCTCCCCCACCCTGCACCTCCACCCTGCTGCCATCTCCCTCTTTCACCTCTCAACCGCCTGATTTTTCAGGCATTTTTGGAAATTCACCTCCTACCCACCCAGCCTGGACCCCTCTCTCCCTTGTTGGTGACAGCTCTGGCTGTGGGATTTCTGAGGTGGGGGGGGCAGCCTGTTTCCCACTACCTAAATCCTCTGCCGTCACCCCAAGGTGCTGCTTGATCCTCTACCTTTTGAAAGCGATGTAGGCCACCAGCCCCACCACCACGGCCGCCAGGATGGAGCAGTAGACGGGGATGAGGTTGTCGGCGGTGCCGCGGCTCACGACGGGCTGCGAGCTGCCCATGATGGTGGTGACGGTGTCTGCCAGGGTGCTGGGCATCACTTCGGTGTTGAAGGGGTCTCTGGTGATGGGCTCGGGGCTGTCGGAGCCCACCAGGGATGGCATCTGTGTTGTCCAGCGAGGGTGGAGGTCTGCCAGGAGGGAGGGGAAAAGAAATGAGAATAATTAGTCACGCAGCTGGCCGTGCCTTGCAACAGGCTGTGGTGGGTGAATTGGGGAAGGGACAACAGTCTCTGCAGAGATCTTTTTCCAAAGGCTGTGGGGCTTGCAGAGGTGCCAGCTCTGCCCCATCCCCTTGTCCCCAGGCTTGTCCTTACAAACCACCTCGTCCCCTGGCCCCAGACAGCACCAGCCTCCCTGGTCCTCAGCACAAGCCGAAGCTGTCCCCTGCCCTGAATGGCTGATGGTGCCTGGTCATAGCTGGACACGGACATGGCTTTGTAAGCTCTTCTTTCCCAGCACTGGATTTCCTTGAGTCCTGAAGCTCTTCCCCTGACGTGCAAGCTGAGCCCCGGGCTCCCATCGCTGGTCCCGAAGCAGCCCCAGCTGCCTCCGACCCGTTGCCCATCTGCACCAGGACATTTGCAAGGCAACCCAGCTGCCTCCGCAGCTCGCACGGAGCCGGGCTCCTCCTCTGCCAGCAGCATCACAGCCGGGATTTGCCCCTTTCCCGGCCCCTGCCTGCAGCCGTGCACCCCACCAGCCCGGCCCCGTTTGGGAGTGACCCCATTCCCGCCGCACCCAGGCACGTCCCATGGAGCGAGTGGATATGTCTTGTCTTGCCCCAGGGAAATGCTCTCACCTGCGGCTGCCCCATCCCTCCCCTGGGTGCCAGCTCCCTCCCAAATTCCCCCTCCCACCCTTCTCCAGGGGCTTATCCCGCACCCACCGGCAGCGAGCCCTGCGGACGTTCGCCGGACCGGCGAGGATGGAGCGGGTGCCACGGCGGGGAGTTGGCATCTTGCCCCGCCGGCCCCCCCGGCCAGACCCCGCTGCCCTTTCAGAGCGACGGTTCGGTGACCGTCACGGTTGTTTCCGGCAGGGTCCCGCTGCCGGCTAACAAAGCTGGCCCTGTGCTCCTTGACTTATGGCTCCATTTACTCGACCCTTTCAAGGGAGCTGCGCTGGCTGCCCCCGCGCCGTGAATCAGCGGCGGCGGGGACAAAGCTCTTTTTTCTCTCCGGCTGGGCTCGGGGCAGGGAATCGCATTGCTACTGCCAAGGAGCAACTGGGGCATCCCCAGCCGAAGCAGCCCTGCCGCTCCTGTGGGGGGACTGCGCACGGCAGCGGCGTGTGGGCTGGCATGGCAGGAGGCTGCTGCCGGTGAATGATGCTCTCCCCCTTCCCCTGGGCACCAAACCCTCCTGGACTCTGGGGCTGGCTGTTCCCCGGCTCTTCAGGATAGTTAATTCCTATCAGAAACCCATCGGCTGCCAAGTTCCCTCCTGATGAAGGCTCGGCCGGTGGCGAGCACAGCATCCAAGACTGGTGAACCTTTCGGCTCCGCTTGCTGTTCCCGGATGCCAAAAGCCACCCGGCAGAGTGCCTGCATCCGCAGAAGCGTCCTGCCGGGAGCTCAGCCAAGGAAGCCCCTGGAAAAAGCTGGGCAGACCCTGGGGCCAGGCATTTGCAAGGGAGACGAGGGCTCACGGCAAGTGCTGCCTTGGTAGGAAGCTGCACGCTGCAATGCCCGAGGGCTGGGGGGTCTCAGCTGGACACCGGGATTCTCTCCTCTGAGCCTAGGGACATGCCCCTGCCTCCCCATTGCTGTAGCGCAAAGGGAAACTGAGGCAGGGAGTGCTACAGGAGTCCCAGCGAACCCCACTCTCCCCTCCGCAACAGCTCTCCCCAGAAAAAGGTGACGTTACCTCTGCATTCGGCATCCGAGATGGCCGTGCACTCCTTCACCATCACCTCATTCTCCTCGCAGGTGGTGCAGGGCAGACAGGGGTCCACGAAATTGGCTTCGCTGGAGAAGGTGCCCTCGGGACACTCCTCACAGACCGTGTCCTGCGAGTCCTGGCAGGGGAACATGAGGCCGAAGCCCACCTCGCACACCCGGCACTCTTTGCAGCTCCCGCTCGGCTCGTCCTGGTAGTAGCCGTAGGCGCAGCGGCACACGGCGTCGTCCGACTCCACGCAGGGTGCGGACATGCTCTGCAGCCCCACGCACTGCGTGCAGGGCTTGCACGGCTCCGTGGCGCTCACCGTGTCCGAATAGGTGACGCCTGGCAGGGGAGAGAGGTTGAGATGAGCAGGGTCCCAGCGTGGCATCCCCAGCCCCTGTGGCCGCTTTGCTCCCCAGCACTGGTTTTGTCCCATCACCAAATGGTGCTGGGCTGGGGAGGTGGGCTCGCGCAGCGGCTGCTGGCTGGGGCCATCTCCCCTTTCACCATCTTCCCCTTCCTCTGGGCCAGAGGGAGAAGTTGTCCCCTCCTTCCCCAGCCCCTCAACACCACCGAGCATCCCCCAGCACACAGGCTCCTCTTCCCATTAACAGCTACCCCCTTTCTGGAGCAATTCCCAGCTCAGAGGGGATCCAGCCTTTGAGCTCCTGCAGCCTAGGCCAGGGCTGGATGCTGCCCTCAACGTGTCCATGGTGCCCATGTCCCCAGACAACCATCCCTGCCACCGAACAGAGCACCATCCCCGTTTTCAACCTCTGGTCAAGTTCTGGTCCCCGTGGGCATCCTACAGCCATCTCTTCTTCCCAGCATCCCAAACGCTTTCTCCTCTGCATCTTGCCCAGGGAGTCCCTCGGGGCATCACCACCTTGTGCCCCCCTCCTCAGCCTCGTGTCCCCGACGCGGGGCGTGATGCGAACAGGAGGTTACAACACTAATTGCTGACTCTCCTCTGACCCCGGGGCTTCTTGCTCTCCGGTTTCATCCTGCAAGACTGACTCTGCTGGGGAAATCAATCTTCCTCCCGCAGCCCAGCAAGCCGCCCCCGTGCCCCCTCCTTCCCCTGACCGCTCCCAAAGGTGTTTGAAGATATTTTTAGCCCAGGAAGACGGGTAAGCTCCTGTTCTGGAGGGCACAGCTGCTGTCCCTGAGTCGGCTGCCTCCCATCGATCCCCCCGCAGCCCACGCTGCCGCAACGCCCCGTCTTCCATCATCTGAAACACCGGGGAAAGTCCAGCCTCCTTGATGGAGAAGGTGTTGGGGACCTCAACCGCAATCCCTCCGCTTGCCCTGCTCCTCAGGAAGGCAATCCAGCCATGTGCTGATCTTTAATTACCTGCCTGTCTCCCGAGGAGGATCGGCAATTCCCACCCTCAGTGGCCTCCATCATCCCGGGGTGGCTAAGGAGAAACTGAGCCATGGACAGGCTCAGGGCAGAGCTGTTCTCGTGCTTAATTTTTGGCCGTTTTCAAGATAGAGGGGAAGGAAGGGCCCCGAGACCACGGTGATGGGCAGGGTTAGCATCGCCTGCACAAGAAGAGCAGGATGGAGTTGCCATCCCAGCCTCAGTGGCTGCCTTCCCACTGTTCTTCAGCCGCAGCAAACCCTGAACAGCAACAGCCGTGACATTTCTACCCCCCAACATCTCCCTCCACCCCATGCCTGCATCGGGGTGTCTTGCTCCTCTCTCGGGGCTGGCCCTGCGCCCTCCCTGGAACTGCAGGACCCCAGGGATGAACCTGCTCCCCTGCTGCTGGTCCTGAGCTGCCACCTCTGCCCCTGCCTTCCTTGCTGCCCAGCAAGTGAGAAGAACCAGAGCAGCACCAGGCTGACCGCCGGCATGCACGGCTCCCATTAACCTGGGTTCATCCTTTGCATTATTCTGAATTATTGATAGATACCATTAGAGCGGGGGAAGTGGCCAGGAAAGGCATATGGCTGAGTGGGCACATTTTCAGTGGCAGCAAGGTATCTGAGCTGAGCAATTACAGCTGAGATTCAAACAGGGCCCCCTCCCTCCTGCCCGCAGCGATGGAGGCTGGTGAGGCGGGATAAATAAATCATGAGGCAGCAATCAGGGGTAGCTGGCAAGGGAGGGGGAGAAAGAAAATTATAATAAAAAAAAAAAAGCAAGTAGCCATTTGGGCTAATGCAGGGACCGTCTCTTCCAGCCCCTCTGGCCCCCCCGGTCCCTGCAGGCTTTGGCAAGGGTGCTGCTTTGATTCTAGCAAATTTTTGCAAAACAATTTGGCTGGTGAATCGGGAAGACATCCAAGGTGAGAGCTTGGAGGCAGCCCAGGGTGGAGGTGGGGATCTCGGCGGCCCAGGGCCGTGCCCGCATTCCACGCTTGGCAAACAGGGTGCTTTGCCGGGACCGGGGCTGCCGGCACCTGCCCAGCACTCGCGGCAGCAGGATCCGGCGTGAGCCCAGGTCCAAAAAGACCCTCTCCCCATCCTGGCAAGGGCTGATGATGGGGTTTGCAGGTCTCCTTCTCTCCCCACCCCAAAATCCTGCTCTGGGCTCAGAGGATGGCTGGGGGAGCGTTTGCCCCCCCTGCAGCACCTGCACCCATGAGTCGCCCCATGGTCACCCCCCCCCCAGCATCTCCCACCTGATGAGCTTCTGGGGATTAGTCTATGCTGCCGTTAATGAATGAATGCAAGACTACAGCTGGGGCAGGGCTGGGGGTATAAAGCAGGAAGGTTTGCAGGGGGGTGTGCTCTGGCTGTGGTTTCTCAGCTTGTCTGCTGCTCCCTTTTTTAAGGTGGTGAGGGGGCTGGCTTCCCTACTTGGTGCTGCTTCTTATCAAGGTGATCGATAGGCCTGATCCTGCCCTGAGGTGTACACCACCACACTGCTGTGTAGTTGGGTAAGCAGTATAGTAGATATTCCCAAGCAAGGGGTGGCAGGGCTGGGAGCTGCTGGGATGCAGATGAAGGGCTGTGGGGGAAACTGAGGCACAGAGATGGCAACTGGCAGCTGCTTGGAGGCTGGGAGCACTCAGCCTTGCTGGTCCATCAGCAGCAAAGTTAAGCAGGGCCCAAAATTTTGCTCTGGGGCTTTGCTCTTAGTCTGTGTGGGGTGCTGGGGGGTCTGGGGGCTGCAGCATTTGCTCCTGGCTGCTCTCATCCCAGCAGGAGTGGAGGACGGGCCCAGACCCTTTTGTCCTGGTACTTTCCAGCTCAGCTCCCTGACCCAACAGAGCTGCTGCCTGATGTTAATCCTCCTGCAAAAACGTAAATGCCTGGCCTGGAGCAATGTGGGGCTGGGCAGGAGGAGCTGGGATGCAAACCAGAGCAGCAGCATTTGCATCTGCACCCTGGCTGATACACGGGCTCCCAGCACCCCACCCAGGTCACGGTCCTGGTCTCTCCGCAAGCTCCATGTCCTCCAGGGAGGGTGGAAACTCCCTTCATCCCTCCAGTTCCCCAAAAGAAATCAGGGAGGCAAGCCATTTGCCAGCCTAGAAGTGCAAGGGGGTTGGGAAACAGGCTTGTCTGAGCATCTGCAGGAATTCAAAGTGACCCTTTGGATTTACAGCCCTGCATGCCTGGGAGCCGGAGCCTTACACCCAGGCCAGATTCCCTGTAGGAAGGGCTCATGGGGATGGACGGCACAGTGGATGCCCTGGCACCTTGCAGCAAGATGGGTCTGAGCCTGTCGTAGCCCGAGAGGGAACGAGCCCACCGTGTCCCGCAGGATTATCCAGCAGAGCAGCCCTGAGGCTGCAGACGGTGGGATTCAGCCCCTGCAGCCAGGCACTGGGAGGGTAAGCGTTGTTCATCGATTTTGCAGGAACGCGGAGGTATTTTTAGCACTGCCCTGACACTGCTCTGTCCCCTGCTCCCTGCTGGCGCTGCTCTGTTTATACGGCTTCGCCTCCTCTTTGCTCCCCCACAGCCGTGCTCTGTCCCTTCCACCTCTCAAATCACGTCCCCGGAGCAATCTGGGCTTGGCTGGCACAGTTTTTCCTAGAAATATTTGTCTTTAGGCCTTCAAAGGGTTTGCAGCAGTAAATTTGAAGGACAGATTGCTTATGCCTGTCATGGCATTGTTTAAACAGTAATAGTTGGACAACTTCATCTGTAAGCATTTAAGCAGGTCTCCAGCACACATCTCCGACCGACATTTATGAAGCATTTGACATAGGCAATGTGCCTGGAGTTGGCCGGGAGAAAACTGCTCCCCTCTCTCTCGGGGACCTACGTGATTTCTTCTCCTCTCTCAAACTTGCTTTTTTTTTCCCCTTTTAAAAAGTTTAAAAAAAAAAAAAACCAAAAAAAAAAAAAAGGTGGCTTATTGGGAGACATCCCTGTGGCTGGATCAGAGACTGATGTGCAGTCAGCGCTGGGAGGGGAATTTTTCAGGGGCAAACACTGGCCATAAGCCAGTAGCCAGGGAGCCATCGGGAGGGGAACAGTGCCGGAAAGGGGATCTGCAAAGGTGCCTGGTACCAACGGTTCCCAAAACAGGCGGAGATGCTGCATCCGTGGCCAGGATTTACAGGGCAGATGCTTTGGGGAAATGCTGGCAGTAACCCTGGTGTGGGTGCAGAGATGGGTGGCCTGGGAAGGCTGCGTGTGGGGTGGAGCTGATCCGCGCGAGGGACGCTGTTGGGCTGTGCATGGAAAGATTGAACCAAACAGCCCAAACTGTGCCCAGGCAAGCCTTCCAGGAGGCAAAGAGGATACAACATGGGGAGACTCAAGTACCTGCTGATGCTCATGGTCCCCAAAGCCCCCCCTGGACCCCGTACCAGCCCCTTTGCGGTGCTTTGCGGAGGGGAGGGGTACTCACTGTCCAGGCAGGGCTCGCAGACGGTCTGGTTGACCCCGCAGGGCTGCACCACCCCCTCTCCCAAGTTGCAGGCTTTGCAGCATTCCCCGCTTGTCGTGTACATCTTGGTGAAGCACTTCTCCTTGGAGCCCCAGGTGGGTCCCTGGGAGAAAAAACAGAGCCAGGAGGTGACCCTTGTTATGGGACCTCCCTGCAAGGGCAGGCGGAGAAATGCGTCGCGTCCAGGTAGGGTCCCACTCTAGGGGTGGACATCCAATGTCGGGGCTAAAGGGGGCTCATATTAAATAGAGGTCTTGGGAGAAATGACTTTCCTATGCAAAACTCGCTCATCAGGAAAGCCCTTGCTGAGTTCTACAGCTGGAGAGAGGTCAGGAAAGCCCATGTCTCCACGGTCTGGGCTGGTGGGTATTTTGGAGCGGGGGGTATGTGGGCTTTTCCGCAGTTCTTGTCTCTCACCTGAGCTGTCTCCTCTAAGGATGCTTTGCCATCCTGAAGGGCTCAGCCCTTCCCAGCCTGGAGGAAGGCAAAGCACTGCCTACAGGCTGGAGGCAGGGAGACCTGCCTGCCGTGATGGAGGGTTTGGAGAGCTGGGGTGACAGCTCTGCACAGTGCTCTTGCTGCACACGAGGATCAGAAATCAGACCCCACGGTGGAAACGAAGACTTTGAAGGGAGCACTGAGACCTTCAGCAACATTACTGTCTAATGGATGTAAGGGTATCTGCTTATAAAACCTGTCATCACATATGGAAGCAATAAATATGCCAGGAGCGGTGGGGTCAGAGCCACCCTGCACCACACGCACTTTGCAGCCTGGGGAGTGGGGTGCATTTGCAGGATGACTGCTCCCCAAAACACCTTTTGGCTGGGGCCGTGCAGTGCAGGAAACATCGCTACCTGGGCACGGGACTGCTGAGATGCTTGTGGTGATCTGAGCTCTACCTGGGCTCCTTTTGCTCCCTCTGCTCGCAAGCAGGTACGTTCCAGGGCTGGCCCATCCCTTTGCCATCCAACAAAGCTTAATTCTGGGGGGGGAGAAAGAAACTCAGCTAACGTTTAGAGGAGCTCTCCCTCCCTGTGCATCTGGATGCCTCGTCAGCCAGTTGGCCGCCTCTTTGCACAATGCGGCGTTATGATGAACTCGCTGTGCATCATCCGGCAGCATCCGGCCCGGCTGAGACAATGGAGCGCCAATTATAGGCATCTGAATGACAAAGTGCTCCAATTACCCTGCGCTTGAAAGCATGTGCTCTCCTCCTTGGCGCTGCTTCGCCAGCCCAGGCTGGCAGCCTGCTCCAGTGCTTGGCCCCAGCTGGGAAGGCAGGAAGGCTTGGGGTGTGTAGGGGCTTCCCAGTACCCCCAAATGCCAACTGGCAAATGGGTTTGGGGGTGAGGATGGGGTTTGCTTTGCAGCGGGCTGGCTGCACGCTTCTCCTGGGGGACAGATCTGGCTGGTGGGGCTTTGCAGCAAACCTGGCTGGAGCTCACCCCGCTGCTCCATCCTCTGCAGCCCTGACTTGCGGCACAGCTGCCCCGCTTGGGCAGGGGGTTTACCCCCATCCCACCTCCCCAGGGTTGTGGTGGCAGCAGCTATGAGCGGGGCTGGGGGAGCAGCCGAACGTGCCTGGCTATAAATAGTGCTGGGAAGGCTGGGGCAGCGCAGCTGGGGCCGGCAGCGGCCAGCTCTCCCACGCCGCAGGCAGCTGCGAGCAGTTCCGTGCGCCCGTGGGGATGGGATTCGGCCGTGCCGCTTCCTCCATGTGACACCCGGACCCCCAGAGGTTGACCCCAGGGACCCCCCCTGGCCACATGTCCCCTCGCTGTAGGGCTGCCAGCAGCAGCTGATTCCCCCGCGTCCCCCCCAGATCCCCTCCTCTGTGCTCCTAAATGCTGTAGAAAATGCAACTTCCAGTCCCAGGTGCTGCACCCCCCGTGCTCTGCCTGCGTTTCCCTTTCAGTTCTGTGTCTTGAGCACTGAAACCCCCATAAAGATTAACACACTTATAAGAGGGGCACATGGTCTGCATTAGCCCACTGAAATGTGCATGTTATTAACACAACTCCTGTTGACAAAGCCACAGGTATTAACACCATAAAGCATTTTGACAGCTGGACCAAGGAGGGGGGGCACAGACGGAGGGTGCGAGCAACACCTCTGTAAGCTTTTAATTGCTTTCTGAGTCGTGTTGGTGGGTTTTTGTGTCCTAGCAGATGCCACCGGTTGTGGAGATGGCCTTGGAGGGAGCTACGCGAAGCAGGAGTTCGGCATGGCACCATTAGATCCGGAGCCCTGGCACAGAAAAATTGCTTCGCACCAGAGCAGGGAAGGGAGGGGATGCTACAGCTGGAGATGGGCCCAGCGGCAAGCCTGGATCCGAACTGCCCGCGAGCCTGACAGACGTGCTCTGCCTTTCTTGGCGAAGCACCTTGTCTAGGAACCGCCAAACCCCTGGCTCTGAGCAATTCCCAAACTTTGGGCAGCGGAGAAAGCCACGTCTGAGGTCTGTGGGTCCGGCCAACCCTCGGCACGGCAGGACCGGGAGGGCTCTGCCTCTTCCCACGCGGACCTAGTGGCCAAGCACCATAGGTAAAGAGCAACAAACACGGGGTACCCAGGGTTTGGGGTGGTCCCGGGGCAGTGGGTGCACATCTGGACCTGTCTGGGTGAGGGCTCAGCGGAGCTGCCAGGCTCCCCCCGGCTCGGCAGGTGTAATTCTGGGGGGCAGATCCAGCCCCGCGGCAGCCGGTACCCTGGGCTGGTGATGGCTGGGCTCAGCCCTGACCCGGGGAGGTGGCTGCGGAGATTCGAGGGACACCGAAGCCCCCGCACCACCGCAGCAGGTGGGGGGGCTGCCCGAGGTGGGTAATTCCCTGGGGTGAAATCATTTGAATCTATATGGCTGGGACAGTTCTTGGTTTTTCTGCCATGCACCCGCCGCAGCAAACATCCCCGGGGAGCTTAGGCAGCCTGATCCCATGTCCGGTACCGTGGGCATACGGGGCAAAGAGACCCTCCGGCACGGAGCCGCAAACACCGCTTTCCTCCTCAGTCTCTACACGAAACCGCTAAAGCATCGGCTTTAATATCCTGCCCAAAAGGTGTCCTGCTGCCTAACGAAACCTCTGGGACCCTCGTCAAATCCTCCCCCAACAAAAGCCCTCTTTCTGCCCCAGGTAGTAGGTCCATCCCCGTGTGCCCACCCGGCTGCCCTGCTCCGGGTTATTTCCCTCTCTCCTGGCCCCTTGTGCCCTCAAGTTTTGTCTCCGGCACATGCTGAGGCTGAGCCGTCCCGGAGGCTCACACTGGGGAGAAGAGGTTCTTCTCTTCTGGGCAGTGGGTTTGGAGCTGGGAAGGTCTAAGGGAGATTTGGGGGATGTGGGATGGCAGGAGATGAGGGTACTGGGGTGTGGGTGGCTTTTTCCTCCCCCCCCCCCCAACTGACTGAGGGCTCTGTCATCCTTTTTTCCTGGGTAAAAGGGATGACAGAGCTCCGTGCAACGGGATCAGAGGGGCTGCACAGGCCAGCCCTGGGGGTCCCCCATCACCACCCAACTCCCCGGACCCCCCCCCCCCCCCCCCCGAGGTGCT